CTCACCTGAGGATGACCACTTTGTGGTTGAAACGCGTTGTGCTATTAAAATAAAAGTTTGGTGTGACGGGCTAATCGTGTTTTTGTTCATCGTTTCCATACCAAGAAGATCCAAGAAGAAGAATTAATTTGCTTATTTTTTTAGTTTTTCTACTGTTTATACTGTGTAAATCAGAGTACTTAAATTTACAAAAATACATTATTTGGCATCATGAAGCTTGGTAATTTGTCATCAAATCAATTTTGTTGTGAAATTGTAAATCATTTATTATTTATTAATTATTGAATTGTCATTGACGATGACTTTTTTTTTAATTTGACTGTGTTCGCAATTGAAAAAATGGAACTGTACCAAAATACTAGAAACTTTTTTTAAGAGTGTATTATCTAATTTAAACTTCTTACAAAAGCGTTACTGTTGTTTGGGTAATACCACCTTCAGTATTTTCATAAAAAAATTGTAATAACTAATTAAAAGTTTTTATAGTTTTTATTTTACTACAGAATGTGTCTTCATATCTAGGGCATTTCAATGGTTATTTTTATGATACAAGTAGATTGACAGCTTTGCAATAACAGCTCAAAACGTTTCAATTATTTTTACAATAAAGTGATCTAAGATCACAACCCACTTGCAGTTAATGCTTTTACTTAATAGTTGTAAAATAGGTCATGCTATTTGTCTTAAGCCAATGCGTTTACCATAACAAGTCTATAAAAATATTTCAGTAGTTATTATCTGTATCTGAAATTTTTATTTTAAAGTCTATTTGATGAAAAATGTTTACAAATACCGCATACATAACTCAAACAAACATTTGAACAAATTACATTTTCTATTACACCTTTATTAACTTTTTACATCTTCTAGAATGTACAGGTGACTGGAAAGACGCGCACCTCCGTGACATTGTGTCATCAGGCGGTGCCCTAGACAACAAAATTTTGAAGTTATGAGAGTTTAAATTTTGAATTCAGACTTTATTTATTTCTGTTGGAAAAATAATTTTCCAAGTTTTTTTTGCTACAGGTTTATTAGAAGAGGAAACAAAAAAGCTATATCCTAAATTGTAACTCTGTTTATTGTTATTTGTGGCTTTTATTGACAAAACTTTTGTACCTTAAATAGACACAAAAAATGTCAAATGTCAAAAAATAAATGTTAAATTTTTTTGACAGATAGAATTTTTTAAACATTTTTTTAGTACTCTGGGAGACTACCTAATTACTCCTTTTCAAGGAGGAAAACATAAAATGAATGTTAAAAAATAAACTTTAAATTTTTACTGAACATTACCTAAATACCAATTTTCAGACTTTTCAGTGATGAAAAGCAGTATTTACTCCTGTAAAATATGAAAAAAAGGACAAATCTACGTTTACACAACTTTTACCCGGTTTAGTAAATTTGTAGTAAGTAAGTAAGTTCGACGTAATAAATATTTTCAAGTGCAAGTGTATTATGCTAATATTAATAATTAGAATAATATGCAGTCGCAATTAAAATTTTAAAGCCTTATAGTAATCGGCCGCAATATCCTTTTCCAAGACATTTATTCGAAATATGTAACATATGACTTGAATGACAACAAAAATCCACTAATGTCGGTCAAGTAAATAGCGTCGTTACCATTACAAAATATAAAGAATACGTTTTAATCAATTTTCTACAATTAGTTGTATTTATTCATACATGCAATACAGTTCATAATTCATTATCAATGGCAATGTTATATGCCTAATCAAATATGTTTTCATTGAATATCTGAACTAGATTGCTGTACACAGTGGGGCCCTTAATGGTATAAAACCCCAACCGTTATTTGTCCACAGCATTCAATCTCCACCGTAGAGGCAACATCATTACCACTATGTTCAAATTGGTAAGTACACCATCATATATTTGGACTTTTTTAAAACCAAAATCTGAAAACTAAATACTAACTGTTTATAACAAATTCAATTTCCAGCTTGTACTCGCTGTTGCCATTTATAGCGCCAACGCTGGCATTATTACAACAGGATTAGGAATCGGAGGAATCGAAGGAATCGGACATGGAGCTGTCGTCGCTGCTGCACCAGTTGCTGTAGCTGCCCCTGTTGTTAAAGCCGTTGGTGCTACTTCGTACCAAAACAACAACCAAATTAGCTTTCATCCAACTGCTGTAGTTGCTCATGCTCCCGTCGCTGTAGCTCACGCTCCTGTAGCTGTAGCCCATGCTCCTATAGCTGTAGCTCATGCTCCTCTAGCTATAGCTCACGCTCCTATTGCTTTAGGTCATGCTGTAGGTGTTGGAAGCGTAGGTCTTGGAAGTATCGGAATCGGCAAAATTGGATTTGGAGGGTTAGGAGAAGAAATTGGAATTAAAGGAATTTAAAATCGTGCGGCAGGATGACGAGCGTTAGGTTTAAGTGTAAAAATTATTTATTTTTGGTACTTATTCTAAATAATAAAAAATAAAAAGTTGAAAAACATTTGAATTTCATTTCATTGTTAGTAAAGCCGATAGATAAAAAAAGAGTTATTAATAAAAATAAAAAAGTAAAATACTGTGGCACAATACTAAGTTACGAAATCAATGAATAACAAAATTTCATGAATGTTCAAGTTTAATTACTTTTAAAATAAGTATTTAAAAAATAATATCTCCACTCACATGAATGAAAAAAACTTAAAGAAGAAAACTCTTTCAGAAATTTTGGCAATTGTATCAAAAGTTTAAAAAATACAGCAGTAAACAAGTCCTAGTATCAGAGATATGTATAAATTTGTTCAATAAATCATTGCTGATGTTTTTCAAAATCGTTAAAATGTATTAATGAATTAAACTGATTTTGCAAAAAAATACTTTAGGTTAAAAAAATATTTTTTTTTCAATACTAATATCTTAGGTATACTGTTTCTATGGTACATTTAAGCTTGCCTCTTATGTTGCCGTAAAATATACACTCTTCTATAAAATATTCTTTTTTTGGCATTTTATAAATTTTGACAAATTTATTTATAACAGTTTTTAAATTTAGCAAATTTTTTTATACAATATTAGTGTTGAAAAAAATTTTGAAGACAACACAAGTTTAAAAAAATCTCGGTCTATGAAATTATCGCCCACTAATTAAGCTACGACCGATTTTTAAACTGTTTCTGTTGTAATAGCTATAATTTATATTTTTTTAAGCAATTTTTGATTGATATTGTATTGTCAGTGCATAGTATTTTGATAATAGATATGACAAGTCAATTAATTATTTAGTATTAAAAAACAATTCTATAAATCAATCACATTTTTACTAACTTTACTAAAGTTACTACTTTTAATGTATTATAATGTTATGCAAAATAATATATTCTGCCAGTTTATATATTATCCTACACACTAGTAGGTACTACACACCACTAATTAAAATTTTATTTTTCAAATCAACAAGACTATTGAGAAATTGCAATTTCCTTGAAATTCAGAACCGGTAAATCTTGAAATATTGGCAATAAAATGTATTACAAACTATGTATTATGTTCCATTTAATTATTGAAATCAATTTATTTTATTTTTAGTAACCACCTACTGAAAAATTTCGTAATCTTTATTATTTTTAGATTTTGATAAGCAATTCTTTATTATAAAAATGTTTTTCTAAATGTTGGTAATCAAATTGCTGTCAGTAGGGATAGTCAAAGTTTAAAATTGTACGTATCATTGAATTATAATATTGTAAATTACTTGAACCAATTTTGCATGAACATGTTGTACTCGTAAAAGTTCTCACATTATGTACTCGTACTCTGCTACAACCAATAGAAAAATAGAAAACATTTTTCCTAATAATGTGTGTATCTACATAAAGCTAATAAGATACTGTTCCTACTTAATATGCATGAAAAATACAATATATTAAGATCATTTTTTCTAGGTCGTTATGATTAATATTATGGTAATTTAATTACAGTCTTATAAGGTTAAAGTCAATGAAATACAAAACACCATTTATAAAATTATACAGATCCGATAATCAGGCAAGTGAGAAATTCTCGCAATTTACCGCAACAGAAACTATTTTTTTTTTAACGAACAATCAAAGATATGCATCTTAAACAAGTCTCACCTTGCCACAAAACAAATGTTTTTTAAATGAGTATTCTCAAACAATAAATATCTTATTTATTACTTCAGTTAATCTTGACCATGATCATTTTACATTGAAATACTCTAAATGACGGAAAACTCACTTGAACTTTCTAAATAAGACTTTGCGCTACTAAAATTTATGAATATACCATTTTTGATTATCGTAAGATTTTGTAACAAAGTGTTACGGATTTATTGTGACAAAAAAGCGCTACTATTACTTAATAAGAATTAATTAATTACCCCGAAATAAAATCTTTTTTATAATAAAAATTAAAGCACTATAATAACTTAAATTTAGATCAAGATTTAAACCTTTTATTTGTAATTAACCTTAAAAGTGTAGCAACATTTTTAATTAGGAATAAAAAAATATGTGCTTAAAAAAGATAATTTAGGCAATTATACGTTTTACTGTACTTTTGCAAACCCTAGACCGCTTATTTACCATTATTTTTTAAAGATAATGCAAGCTACTAAACAACATTTAAAATTTTTATGTAATAATTGAGCATTAAAGTACAAGGGTGTACAATTAGTTAAAAAAATTACATACTTAATTATAAAAAAATAAAATACAAATATCTATTAATTTTCTTTTTGAAATTATTAAATAAAATTGAATAGAAATAATAGTTTTTAACATCTTTAGTAATAAGCTAATACAAAACAGTGTTTTTTGTCTAATTATAAGCACTTGTTAGATTTGTCATTTAGAATTTTAAAAGACTCACCAAAGCATTTTAATTGCGATTTCTGAATGTGACAACCGCCTACGATTACCTATTGAGGACAAAATTGGCACTAGATTTCAGTAAATCATCGCAACGGGTAGCAACAATTGAATGAAAGTGAAACGGGGTCCTTGTTACATCATAACCCTGACCCAGAACATTCTGCTACCCAGAGTTTAGACCCAAAGATTCACTATAAAAGCCGCACCGAATACCCCAATCGCCATTCGATTCAACAGAACGAACCAACAAATTACAAAAATGTTCAAATTCGTAAGTCAAAAATTAAAAAAAAAACAGTTTGTTTATTACAAAATATTTTTCTATAGGTAGTCGCTCTCTCCCTCTTGGCCGTTGCTAAAGCCGGCAATCTCGGTTTGGCCTACTCTTCCCCCGTCGTAGCCGCCCCAATTGCCCACGTCGCCCATGTCGCCCCCGTCGCTCATTACGCCGCCCCCGTTGCTCATTACGCCGCCCCCGTTGCTCACGTCGCTGCTGCCCCCGTAGCTGTCAAAACTGCCGTCCCAGTCGCCACCTCTTACCAAAACACTTTCAAAGTAATTTTTTTACAAAATCTAAAAGTGCTTCCATCTACAAGTGAATGTGTTCGACTAACGCTAAAAATTTCAATGATTTTACAGATCTCTAAGACTGCTGTCCCAGTCGTCGCTGCTGCCCCCGTCGTCAAAGCCGCTCCAGTACTCTCCTACGCTGCTGCCCCCGTAGTCAAAACTGTAGCTGCTGCTCCAGCTTTGTCCTATGCTGCCGCCCCAGCTTTCGCTTATGGTGGTCTCCACCACTACTAAGCTAGTGCCTCGATGGTTAATTTAATCGTCGCTTATTTATTACTTCCTGATGATTTTTGTACATATTTATTTTGATAAATTTTCTGTGAATAAACTGATTCCTACGTGAAATGTGTCTTTAATTTCTTTACTTCTTCACAATTTTTTTCCTTTTTATTCTGTCCAACGTTTAGAAAAAACTATGTATAAATATTTCAAAACATATTCTAGACAAACTTCTGTACTTATAATTTATCTCCTCTTTCTAAATATTTTTAAAGTGTCTCAAATAAAAAAAATGCGAACCTCAAAATCAATAATATTTAACACTTTAACTTTTGAAAGATACCAGTGGCGCAGCTAGGGGGGATTCCGGGTACCGAAACTCAAAATTTCGACAAAAATCGAAAAAATTAAAAACTTCAAAATTGAACCATTTGCATTCTTAGAGGTTCAAGAGACTTATAGAGAAGTACAAAAACGTTGTAAAAATGAAAGAAATAAATTTTTGTGTGTAAGTCTGTATGAATACATTGAATAAAAACATTAGGACTGTCTGCGGCAGCGGCATAAGGTCCCGCTTTCCGGACTTCGAAAAAAAGCATAAAAGCTTTTTGCTATTTCGCGGTCTCACAATAATGGGCATTTGGTGCGACTGCTTTCACTTACACAAAATGCTCTTTGTGACACTCTTTTTAGAAACATTTTATGCTACATTTTAACCATCACTGACTGTGCATACTGTGAAAAATTGTTGTAGATCGACGTATTTCATCCAAACAAACGTAATTTAAACGTAATGTCAAATGTCATTAAAATTTAGATTTAGGTAACACGAAACAAGAAAACACATTCGCTTTTTTACTAGGTCTTCTTCTATCAACAAGCTAAAATTAATTTGATGAACTTTTCATTTAAACACATGATATAACAGTGATAATTTCAAAATAAAGTTATTATCTAAGGATCGTTTTGTATAAAAAGTCAACCGAATGACATTGCTGTTCGATTTTATCCCGGCATCTTTAAAATTACATGTGAAATGACCTTTATATGTAACTGCAGACATATTCATGCTGATTTTTTTTATAAAAACATCCGTCATAGAAACTGTTATGACAATTAAGCCCATATATTTTAATAACGTTTAAATGAGTGCCCTCAATTTTTTTACATAAGTGAACCCCTCTTAAAGTCTATATCTCTGACCGCGCCACTGAAAGAGACATATTCTAAAAATTAATGTCTAAAAATATCATTAATTTAATCATTTTTGCCATATTTTAAATTTGCATAAAAAAATGCTACAAATACTTACAACTGAAACATTTATAACCGTTATATTGGCTGTACAAGAATAAAAGCCTTTTGGTAGTTTTTTACAATTATTTAATTACACTACCCAACAAATTTTTTTTTAATGTGATTGATCTGTTGACACGTGTATCAGGGTATGTACATTAACATCCCTAACTACGAATTTGAAAAGAAAAATTCTCCATCACGTACAGATTTTACGTTACAGAAAAATAGTATAAATAAATATAAATATAAATAGTATAAATAAAATAAATTCTATCGTAAAAATTGTTCATTTCAAATAGAAATTAATTAAATAGACGACAAAAGAAATTAATTTATTCACTAAACAAGAACAGTGTATAAAGATGTAC